AGTGACACACATAACAACATCTTCCACAGTGGAAATTTTTTCATTAAGATTATAGTCAGTGACACTTGTAAGTGATGGTTGTTTACTTTATATGATACGTTATTATTATCAATGACAATAATTTGCTTAGAATGATCTTCTGTCGGAGGTACACGAGGATCATCGTTTTTAATTTATTTCGTCTAAGTCAGATTCATGGATTGCACTCCATCGATAGTATGAAAGCTCTTTACCCAACAAGACGGCGTCGGAATATCAATATTAACAACTACATTGTTCTCTTCGCGATGGCATTTTCCGGGACGCGTATCCCTGCACCTTAGGACAGGCATAGGGATACACGTAACAAGCCCGAGGCCTTACAACATACCACTACGAGTCCGACCTCAATTGGCCAGTTGTACCTAGGCCTACATGTCAAATTTTGACTTTGCAGCCCCAGGCACAGTGCTTGGAATTTGGCCTCCCGTAGCACCAACTTTATCCGCTTTGGACGGCGGTCGCTAACGCGTCTCGCGCTCGGCGTGTTCGAAGTGCCCACATTTAGACTACCATATAGTGCAGTGCGAGAATGGGGCACAACGAACTATAATCTGCCCTCGTTGTTACGCGACATATCTTAAAGGATAGAAACATCTATGTAACCCCGGGGGCCACGTGTACGGCATGAGACGTCGAAGATTGGTTATCCCCTTGAGATATATTAGATTTATGAGAGTACTTGTCCCACTAAAATTGGGAGGGAACTGCATCTTGACGCAATTGTGGTTTTCCATAGGTTGACTGAAGTAAAAAAATAATAAAGAAAAAAGGTAAAAAACACACATGGATATATATCGACGAGCAGAAATGGAAAGCAGTACAGAAAAAAATTTCTACAAAATTTTTGAGCCTCGAATAAAAAATGCAGTATTGAGAGTAACAGGCGTCGAGCGTGTAGCATGTTAAGAGTTTAGGAAACTTATAGGGTGGGTGGACATAATTATTTATTATTTACTGCTCATGATACCTTCAAATAAAAATTAAGTAAATGTTGATATTAATTGAGAAAAAAAAATGTTTTTGACAACATTCAAGCGGTGAAGAAGTTCTACAGTACTATGACTGATAGCCGTTGAGCGTGTAGCACGCCGAGAGTTTGGCACACACTCAATTAGGAGGTAGATATATTAAATTATTATTCTATACTTATATTATCTGCAAATTGAAATTTAGCAAAAGTTATTATGAATTAAAAAAAAAAATTATTATTTAAGCAGTCGCGAATGAGACCGCCCTTCAAGTGTGCCAACTCTTGGCATGCTACATGTTCGACGACTATCAGTCACAGTACTGTGAACTTTCTTCACCGCTTGAAAATTGTCAGAAAAATTATTATTTTTTTTTAATTCATATTAACATTTTCTAAATTTCAATTTGAAGATATTATGAGCTGTGAATGAAAATAAATTATGTCCACTCGCCCTATGAGTGTGCCAAACTTTCTGCATGATACGTGCTTGACACCCGTCACTCCCAGTACTGTAAACCTTTTTAGCAGTTCAAAAATTTTTCTAGAAATTAATCTATTTTAACTTTTGCTAAATTTTAATTTGCAAATATTACAAATATAGAATAATGACTAAATATGCCCACCCACTCTTTGAGTGTGCCAAACTTGCAGCTTGCTACACGCTCGACCGCTATCAGTCATAGTACTGTAGAACTTTTTCACCATTTGAATATTGTTCGGAAAATTATTTGTTTGATTTCAATTTTATTTTATAGCTTCAAAATCTTTTATGATTATTTCATAGGATTGCCGGTTCTGAATGAGTTTTTGCAAAGATTTTGTCCATTTATCCGTTTTTCGATTTGGAGCTCAAATAGTGGCGGTAACTCTTCGAATATGTTTCCACCCCCTAGCGACCTGCGTTAGCAGCTACGGCCCTATAAAATACGGTGACAGACGTATTCCAAGTCAGTAGTCGAATCCTTGTCAGAAAATTTAGTTCAAAATGGGCTCCATAGTTTACGACAGTCATGTATTTGATTACATCAAAGAAGAATCGCAACGTGGCGCAAGATTAGTCAATTACAAGTGCCGCAAGTGTGGTGTTGAACTGCTGAGACACAAATTGCTGAAAAAAAATTTTCTGGAAAGTTTTTATAATCATCCATCAGTAATTGGAGATATTTCAGAAATTGGTAAATAATGGAGGAAAATATTATATTTTTTGTAAAATTCGAATTTTACACCGTCTTTATATACTAATGTAATTGTAATTCTTACAATTCATGGAGACTTATTATAAAATTTATCTGTTTATCATTATAATGTCTGTAAAAATAAATTACTCATTCAATAATATTTTTATCACAAAGTATTTAGTATGAACAACTTCACGTTTCTGACTCGCGCAATTCTTTTCGAATCATTGTAAATTTTTTCTTTTTATTTATTTTTACGTAGAAATAGAAAATTTCAATTTTGACATTTTTATAGTTAAAAAATTAATATTTGTTAATGAACATGTTTCACTACATTTGACTGCCGACTGACTCTTTGCTTAGTAATTATAACTTTTTAACTAAAAATCCGTGTAGTTTCGGTAGAATCGTCTGAAAAAATGTTCGTTTCTTCCAATCTACACTTTATTCCAATGTAATTTATATTTTTAATATTGAATAATTGATGGTTGAGTTAGAGCATAATTTAACTGGATCCGTCTGTTGACATATTCTACGCTTATCGTCTACTACATTCTCTACTTGTAATTTCTGTTTTGCTTAAAAATGTTATTTAAATAAATGTTTTCTGCATTATTTGAACTCGCAGATTGTCAATTCGAATCTCATGATCTTTGTATAATTACGATTTATAATTTGAGTTTTCTTGTTATTCAAGTGTATTTTCCTGCTGGCTTACCCTATGCTCCATGTCAATTATTTCCTTTATTAATAATTCATAAAATTATTTTCGATTCATCCCTGAAATTATTATCTTGTAATCGGACCTGTAGCTCTTTTTGTAATTAAATATTTCTAAGCGAATAATTGGTATTGGAAGTGTACTATTCTTATTCTACATTTATACATTAACTGATTGTACTCTTTACCTTTATAAGTCCAGTCAATACACTGTGAAAAAAGTCAAAAATTGAATGTCTGTTCAACCAACTCACATTTCAAATAGCATATAGACTGGATCATATTTAGTCCAGTCAAATGAGGGAAATGGGATAATTTTGGTTTGCTGCGGCCAAAGTGATGATTTAAAGATGACTAGATCAGATATTTCGCGAGAAACACGATGGTGTAGGTCAAAAATGTTTGCCCCCCATCGCGAATTTCTCGATTTGTATCGGAGATATGGAAAAATGTTTTAAATAAAAGTTGTCGAGACTGTAATATTAATAAAAAAAGTACTGAACACTTTTTTTTCATCTCTATGATAAATAAAAAGTTATTCGCGACTGAGGCTTCACCATTGACGAAAGCTCCAGTCGCGTCTAAGAAAATTAATGAAAAATAATTAGCGCTACAAATATCACTTTTTGGCATTTTTTTTTTTAATTCAGATATCAAACTACATTCTCAGAAAAAAAATATTTTTTTTATTAATTTTTTCATTATTTTCATTAATAAAGAATTATTTAAATCGTATACTTTTTCGATTAAAATTACAGTCTGAACAACTTTTATTTAAAACACTTTTTCATATCTACGATAGAAATCGAGATATTCGCAATTGGGGCGGTTTTTCGCTATTTACTCCCCCCTATGCGTGCCAAACATTTTTGACCTACACTATCGTGTTTCTCGCGAAATTTCTGATCTAGTCATCTTTAAATCATCACTTTGGCCGCAGCAAACTAAAATTATCCCATTTCCCTCATTTGACTGGACTAAATCATTTGCTCCACTTATAATTAAATTTATTACCGGAATATATGCTGCAATGTTTACGGTTCTAATTAGTATGTTATGTTCGCAATTCTTTATGAATAATCACTCTACATTTCTTTCCCGCACGGATCTAATACTGGGTTGAACGGAGAATGACATCAGTGATGCGGCTTCTGACATTTCAAGTATGATAAATAACATCTCAGTATTATTATTATCTATTATTAAGTTAAGTTACTACGTATAATTAAGTTACTTTAAGTTGTTACGTATAATTGATATTTTAATTTTTCTTTAGTCCTTGACACCGTAGTACTTGTTTCATCGGACGATGAATTAGAAAATGCAAGACTAGACGAGAGGGATCCTACAAATGCAACGCGAGGGGAGCTCGTTCGTTCGTTCAAATGCAGTATTTGCCAAGAAAGAAGTATAAACGGAGTATGCATCCCATGTGGTCACGTATGTCTGTGCGAATCGTGCATGAGAGATGTCAATATTTATCATTCCAGACGCAAACAAGGTGACAGCAATTTTATTTCGTCATGAGTGGTGTGCAAAACACCTTTTTGGACAATCCGGAAAGTTAACTATTTATAAAAGATGTGTATATTTATGGATATTATTGTTTTTTATTTTATCAATAATTGTACTGATAATTTTGGGAAGTAATAAATAGTTGTTATTGTAAGATGAATTGAAGTTGGTAGTCTTATAAATGTTTAATTAATCATTGCTTAGCATGAGTACGAGCGCAATATTTGAAATTCCTAGACTTTCACCATTTTTTTTGACCCGTACGTGCGGCACTCAAGTACGCCAGCGCCTCATATCGAATTAGTTTTGTAGGGCGTCTATAACAGACTACAGAAAAATATGAGTCGGATGGGGCCAGACATGACCAGGCAGAATTATCTGCGAGTCATGAAAAGAATCTATTGGCGTCATTATAGTCCTTTATACTCAAGTAAACACGAATGGACATCTGATTTTTCATAAAATATTCTTTTTTTATTGAGCGTCCACGGTAAGATTGGCACTTGTCTCAACAATTTTCAAGGTCGAATGGTCGTCATTATTCATGCTTAAGAATTCAATTTTCTCATTTAGAGCCAACGTAATTGATAATGAGTATCGGTTATAGAGATTAATCTTGAGTCAATAACTTAGGCCAGTGATTTATTGGGTTTTTTGTGACAAGAGGGTTACGCGAAAAACGATGAAAGAGATCTGATATGTCTGTCAGGATACAGAACATCAGCATAAATAAAACAGTCGTGCATCACTAATAGATTATTTATCAAAACCTCTATAGCTATAAACAGCACAAAATCGCAAATCTTGCAATATTTATATGTATCGTAAAAAAGTACCTGTCTTTTAATACAGACATGAATATTTTCGTTTCTTCTGAAATTTTCTTACAGCGATAAATGATTTAAGATTATGTTACTAAGTCTTATTGAATATTATCAGCAAATTGTATCCGAAAAAACCTAAAGCTACAATGGCTTTTTTTACAGGTGGGAGTGATGTTTTTCTGCCTCCAGTTACATCGTCACCACTCCATTCGTCAGCCTTTCGACCTGTCATCAAACCATCTCCAATTATTTATTCCATTCCACAAAGGGATATTGTAGAAACTGTTTCACATAAAGCAGAAGATACAGATGACGATATTGATATTGAAACAACTGAAGATAGTGTGTCATCTATAGCTCATTTTGAAGATATTAAAAATCCTCCTCATATATCAAACGATGAAACCGTTTATAATCCACAAATATCACTTTGCTGGAGTCCAGCTCAGGAAATGGTACGTAAAACAAATTAGCAATGATATGTATGTAACTGTTACAAGTTGTGTACAAATGAGATAGAAGATTAATAGTATTTGTTACAGATATTACTGTCGGAAAAATTGATAAGTCAGCAATACTCAGTGTAGGTATTGGCGAACATCGACTGTACAAACGGTTATATTGTTAAAGAAATAGTTACTATAATACTGTCATGAGAATAAATCACTTATCAATTAGGATTTCAAAAATCTATGTCAGTATCCCAAAACAATGTTTTTATCACACTCACGGTGAATGCAAATTCTGGAAGACAGGAATATACCAATATCTATGTGAACTTATAAATGGTATCCTGATTAGATAGTAAAAGAATGATAAAAGTTGGAGTTTAATTCTATGATCTCGTTTAATAAGTCACAAATGTTATCGGGGGTCAAAAACTCGATGTTTAAAATACGTTTTTACGAAAGAAGAAATTTCCACGGATTGGATGAATCACTTTCTGTTTCAACCGATATCACTGTATCTTATATTTCACGTTGTCCCTGTTGATAATAGTAGTTTTAGAAAATTATCGATCTATAATTTAATAAGAAAGCAGAATATATGAATATAGAATAGAGAGAAATTCAGTAAATAAAGGAATACATTCTATCGGATTTCGTGGTGATTTTTAGGTAAAAATATATTCATTAATATCTTCGACTTATGTTCAAATAAGATTCACCAAAAAAAAATTTCTGTTAAAACCTGATCTGGTATTGAAAGCTTGTTAAAGCATAAATAAAATGGTTACAGCTGTCGTATATTATGACTTTTGAAGATTGTATATGAGGCATATTTCCATGCAATACGTCGAGACTTCCAGACAACGTATCTTTCAGAAACTGATCGTTACATTTACTGTACGAGTATTTAGCGGGATTATGATAACAGATGATGTTTGAATATAAGAATAAAAAATAAAATTGAAAATTCGTAGTAATCTAATCTGATTTCGTAAACTAATGAAACTGTAGTAACTTCTTTAATAAACATATAAAAGCTCAAAAACTACCATAAATTCAATTAATTTTAAGCTATCAGTTTGATTGATAATGCGCTTAATGTACACATGAACTGCATGAATTGCTATTTATAAATAAAGATTCAAAAACATCCATGTCTCTCTTGTTGGTAGTTTTAAGAATAAATTGTCTATCATTGGTTATTATTTTCCTAAAACGGTAAACGTTTTCATTTCAGACAATCTTATATGCATCAGTATTGTTGAACAGTTATATTTCTTTGCAATAATTGCTATAGAGCAATTGAAATCAGTTTATTACGAATCTAAACAAAAATTGAATATAAAAATATATACTGACCTGACTCTAACAAAAAAAAGTAAATTGATTAAGGTATAAAAAATAATTTAATCATATAATGTTTGGACCACTCCGCAGTCAACCTACAGCCTTGACGTCTTACTCAAGCTCATTAAGAGAGCGATTACATCTTTGATGGTTCCATAGACTACTGATGTAGCCTTGATGTTGCCACTAACTTTCCTCTGAATGCTAGTTATCGTCTCTATACTCGAAGACGTTTAACAGTGTGATTCTTGTGTAATTAACTGACAAGGAAGGTATCCCGATAAGTTATCTCCAATTTTTTTGCCATTGAAATATGGTGAAGTAGGAGATGCTTTATTTTATTGAGGGCGATCTTACTTCCATTTGTTGGATGGATGACTTTAAAGATCACCAACTATCCTAACGATTTTTATAAAAATTCAATCTGTGAGAGCAATATCAGACTAATAATAAGAATGACTTGAAGACTCTTTTAACTTCAAATGAATCAAACAATTTTCATGAGTAAAAATATAATAAATTATTAGGGAAAGAACAATGAGGTTCCAAAGCAATACTCGAATGATCGCCCATGATGATGTTCTTATGACCTTTCAAGGTGGAACCAGTTACACAAGAATTGACGGCACCTTGAAAAATCTGCTTCAACTCACTTTTCATGCCTTAGCCTGTGATAGGAAATGTACAGATAACTCAACTCAAACAACCCACACACAAGTTAAATGTGGGACAATCTAAATGTAGATAATCAGATGACAACGATTCGAGTGCCCTAGCAGATAACTTAAACAGAATTCGATCAAATAACTCATTCCACTCAGAAGACAACTCATCAGACCTACACACTCAACTCAGGAGCATCGAGAGAGACACTCCACTTCCAATAAACGATCGGCAGGCCATCAGCAAACACATTACTGAAGGAGGGAGAATGTTTTGACTCGGTCAGGAGTATTCCATCTATAGCCTAACAGATTCTCCCCACCGAATAATTAGATAAATCGAGGTTTCTCCTGCAAACTTATCTACGCCAATTAGACTAATTTAATCAATTGATTTCCCTTCTTAAAGAACTAGAAGCTTTTAGAACGCAGATTTTTGGGTGAAACGGTCTGTATTCGTCAGCAGTCATCAGTATCCTTCTGTTACTGTCTGGCCAGTATTAGCACGTAACTCGTACTCGGACGACTTTTAGGCATTATCGGACGATGCCAACAGACAGACAACTCGGCACGCGTGTACTAGCAGAGAGCTTACACAGTCGAACTCGCAGGTGAAAACCCAGACAACTCATCAGAATATTCCTTAGTCAATTATTTACAATGATGATTGTAAACTTATCAGTCAGTCTAACTTTCATCAGACATCATTAGTGAGCTTAAGTTGGTCTGACTCAACATCATCGTTGCAAAAGGCGCGAACGATGTCGGCTTCGACGCCTAAGGGCCTCATGGACAGACACACACACACACAAGATATACATAAACAACTCGCTTGTATCTCTGTGACTGACGCCAACACACACAAACTCAGACTACTCCTGGTCCAGAGACCAGACTCGGAAAACTTACAACTTTTCAGTGATTTTCTACTCATCAGACAATTCATCAGTGAACTTATTATCAGATATATCAGTAAACTCTTTGCGTGAAATACCAGTAAATTCTAAATCAAAAATCTCAATGAACTCAAGACTGTACTCAGTTTTCAGTGAACCCATTTCACACAGTTATCAGACAGACTCTCTAATCATTATCTCACTTACTACTGTTACTTTAGTGATTAATAAATCATTAGTTGCTACTGTTAAGTAGTGTCAGCCGATTCATTTACACCTGTTCAACAGTCTCGACTGATCTAGCATTCAACCATGATAAAAAATACATCGTATTATTAATTTTAACTTGTTTATAACATCAGTGAAATATGAATTCTTCTCGATTCAACACTCTGTTTCACATAAAAGCGATTTTAAAACTTCACAGTTTCCTTGTTTCTAATGTCAGAAAACTCATTGTAACATTGATGGAGAAACTGGGTAGTTTTTCATTTCTGTCTTAAATTTCCCTCATAACGTCTCCAATCCGTAAGCCAATTAACTGCTATAAAAGCCGGCATAAATCATCACTCTTTGGTTCATCGGCAATCAAGACCTGATATGAAATTCTCTCGTTTATGAGTGAAATGAACGAAAAGAGTATTTAGTGCGTCAAAGTCTCCTTAAGGAAGCACCCCTGTCTACCTTTATCTATGCTCACATTCTGTCAAGCCAACATTATAAGTTAACTCTTCGATCCTTAACTAAAGTTGCTGATCAAATCTATTTTTTATTGTAAGCCGACACTGCTGTGCAGTAAGTATTACAGTAAGCTATACCATCGCATTAATTTCATTAACTGAGGCGTGAGTTTTCGTAAGATGAAATTCATTCGGACAATTCTAATGAATAACGAATTCTACTAGTATTACATACGAGAAGAGAAAAGCCCGGTTAGTCGGAAATCTCTTGATTAGCCTTTGGGCAGTTTTAGTAGGACACTTCAAACACTTGAAGAAAAATTTTGCAAAAGATTTATGCTATACAATGTTTATTAGTATTTTAATCAAACATTTGATCTTAAATTTCTTTCGTACACTCATGCGATTTTTTCATTCACCAAGTGATAAAAACATTTTATGATTCCGCGATTATAGCAAGTGAAATTTTGCGTAATTTTACAATTTCAAACATTTTTCGCATGTAGAACAATTTGAAAATATCTTCAAACGAAAGCGACATAGCGCCGTTTTTTTCTGCAAGTACCGGACGATATCTGTTTTTGGCGGATTTCACTTACTTTTGTAAAAAAGTTTACATATTAGATTAGATGATACTGATTTTAAAAGAAATTATAAACCTACCATATCGCGGAATTACCGTCGTTACTCATCTTTTCACAAAAGATCAATAAATAACAATAAATGTTTTTTCGAATTTATTTTCTTTTTCCGTAATTTTAGTTCAAGCAAAGCGCTTATTAACATTAAAATCGATGCTAAAGAAACTATTCCTTTCCTTCAAAAGAATCCAGCAGGAAAATCTATAACCCAAAAACCAAAAATTATTCTTTGATGGAACTAATTTTAATGGAAAGAGTATCAAAATTTACGAGATATGTGTCTTTGCAATCTTTGAAATGACATTAAGGACAGTAAACAAAATTGCAATTTAAAAATTTTTAATTGTTATTGATCAATTATTTATAGTCACAATAATCACTGAATAAAATACGTCGTAATTAAAGACTGAATAGTTCGTGATTAGTCAAAATCCTTTTTTTGTTATCGTCATGTGAATGTGACATATTTAAATCATTTGAAGAATTGTAACATTATTTTCTCATGTTTATCTTTAATACGGAAGTAAATAGATATTTTTGCCTCTGATATTCGTTTCGATTTTGGTTAATAGTCATTATTTCATATGTGTATAAAATCGTGTGCTTGAAATAGGAATATTATTCTCTTCTATTCCAGAAATTCATTAACTGTAATGTTTGAATGTATTTCAATTATTTAACATATTTATTTAAAATATATTTTAAGAAAAGCTAAAAATGAATAGCAATAAAATTCAAGGATTGAGGTTAACGATTATTACTTGATTTTTTTTCTTTCAAGTTTTCTTAAGATTTCGTTAAAATAGAAAGGATTTCGAAGAATAGTTGAGGAAATCAACTTTTAGATATCTTATTGCTTTTGGAAAACCCACGTGGTGAAGAGGAATAGAATTCTGAAAAAAGAGAATACGTGACATAAGAAAAGCATTAGCTTTCCA